CATCATATTGGAAACATACTATCTATTAATAAATCCTGGTTGCATCCCAGCCCATTTATGCCACTGTGGCAGCTCAAAGGGGCCTAAAAGCAGCCAGATTTGTTCAGCTAAAAATTACCTCCTGATATTTTGAAACTTTCAGCTGGTGTGCCCAGGTGCTATACCCTGCTCCCCAGTTGGCTGCAGCAGGAGGGGCATGGCTAGAGTTGCTGTGTTCAGACTATCCCATGCCGGTGTGTGGTCCCTGGGTACTGTTGCCAGTTGGCATGAGTTACAACAGCCCCCAGGATTCCCTAACCTAAACTGGGCTGATATTGGCACAGAGTGGCACTGAGGATCAGGAAGCCATAACAGGCTCCCTAAAGCTCCCCCACCTTAGCTGCCCCAACCAGAAGCTCTGTGCAGCACAGAATATGGGGGTAATTTGAGCATACAAAAGAATTACACCTTTCTCTACTAAACACACACAGACTCTACCACTACTTGTTAAACTGAGTCCAGTTTCAGCTCAAATTGTCAGTTTTTCTCTAGAGCTCCTGCAAGCCTGAAGGCTAATGTGTAATTTTTGAACAGTGACCACACAACTTTCATATTCTTTTGTTTTGAAATAAACCTAGTTGTCCATTTCTATTGCATGTCATACACCGTTCTATTCATCACTATAGCATGCAGGCTTACTGGCCCTATTCTGCACTCTTCTGCCATACTGCCAGTGCAGAGCGGCCCAAAGTCAGCATATCTGGCTACTGCAAGATCACCTAAACATAAGGGAGCCTCTGATGGTGTAGAGTTAACATAGTGGCTCCTACATCACTGTCTCCACGCTGCTCCATCAGAAGGCATGGATGGTGCATTGCAGGGCACCGGGGGTTCCCTTGCAGCCAGCAGAACCTGTTCTAACTAAACTAACACTTAAAGGGCTAGCATGGCACACAGCCAGGCTATGATCAGGAGAGTATAAAGGAGGGCTCTATGACATATTTGCACCACCTCCTGAGCTATCATAACCAGGGATCTGGCTCAGTGACTTCCATGTCTTCACTACAATAGGTTTCCCTGCCAAGAAAAGCATTCTAAAGTGCTTTCATGATTGAGCATTTAGTATTTTTCTGTATTATCTATGCCAAATAATATTTCGAGGGGAAGAACTCAATACTTTTGTTTTCAACACCACTTTCAGTATCAGTTACTGTTTTCGTCACTACAACCTATTACTTTGGTCTACAACCAAATAATATGTTGTAAATTCCCTTCTGTATTTCAGTTTCTCCAGCATGTCTCATGAGTCTATAGAATCTTTCTACCACTTAATGCAGAGTTTTCCTCAAATAACAGGATTCCAGAATATGATCTCATTTCATTATTCCTATAGCTATCAAACTTTCATACTTTTTTCCACTTTCTAAATTCCTCCTGAAGTTTCTGTAAGATGGGAAGAAAAGTCTAACAGAGCAAGTCTACTGAATCGGTTACATGTACACTTAAAGATTTTAGTTTTGTAGATACTTAAAAAAGCCTGACATAAGGTTCTCTAACTTCTTTTGCTCATCAATATAGTTTGTAATTCTGTCTTTTGAATATTCATTCTGTAGACCGGTATCTGGCTAAAACTAATTCCTGTAAAACTGCAGCTGTTGAAGATAAAGGATTGTGTAAACGATTAGGTAGAGCCTCTGAAAAAGGGATTGTTTTATGTTCTGTGCTCTAAATTATTGGCCAAGTAATACACCCATTAGCTCCAACTTTTTGCCAAGCACTTCTATTACTAGGTCGATCAGAAGTGGTAAGACGTTGTACTTATCCTGTTCCCTCTTTCAGGAGTATTTCTTTAGGAAGGGAGCAATTTAATAAGATAGCTCTTGAGATTAAATATAAGGTATTTGTTTCCTAAATTTGGAACTAAATCTATTTTGCTCAAGACAGTCTATTGGTTGATCTAGTTAAATACTTTCTAAATCATGAGGTAATAAGGCAGGTTCCTTTCTCTTTGACAGGGCTGAATAGATGTCACAGATTGTCTGAAGACTGCTTTCCATAAATAAAATATGTTTGGACTTAATGTATCAATGGCTTAATTTCAGTCTCTAATTTTGTTGCAAGTGTTTTGGCATAAATGTCAATGTCTGTATTTAAAAGGGCAATTGATCAAAACAGGGATTCATACCCAACTATGTGTTTCTCCTATATGTGTAGTGGTAGCATGATGCATTAGTCCTGGGAAACTCCCTTTTCTCGTGTAGTTTTCAATAGCTCTTACTCAATAAAGGGACTTTTATTGCTGGAAAGTTTTTTAAAATGTAGCAATATAGCCATCTGTCCCCAGATTTTTCCTAAAGTTAGGCTGTTTACAACACTTTCAATTTCAGTTTTAGCTCAGGATATCCCTTTACCTAATTGTATCTTCTGATGAGAAGACAGGTAGTTTTGTTTTTTCTAAATAATGTTGTATCTGTTCTGAGATATTTACATATTGTGGGGTATGTAAATTAGCCTAGAAATCCCAAAAAGCTCATTTAATAATTCTTAGATTTTGCTTCATACCCTCTTTGGTTTTAATTTGACAAATATATTTCTTATGAGCTCTCCTTTAAGCAGATAAGCCAAAATCTTGTCAGCTTTATTGCCCTTTTCAAATAAAGTTCTTTTGACTAGCTTTATTGGCCACTCAGTGTTCACACAGCAATGTACTGAGTTCTTCCCTTACATATATTAGCATTCTATATTGCTTTTGTTTTCCTGCACTTCAGGAGAGCCTCCAGTCTTTTAGTTTTCCTTTCAAGGAAGGCAATTCTTTCAAACAGTCTTTCTTTTAAATTGCTCACCATTTCCAATAACTTATCTTCGAATTGATACAGTAGCATTACAAGTATATCCCATAAAGTTTAATTTTACATATTCCAGAATCTTTCTTTTAAATTTGCAGCTCGACCTTCATTGTTCTGCACCAGGGTATCATTTAATTGCCAATATTTTCATTGTGTTTCTCCTTTATAGTTTGTACATCTAACATATCTAGAGTCCTTATGTTTACTCAAGATGCGTTTGTGAGGGATACTGATGTAACCCTTCTGCCAGGTGAAGTCGGCAGCAAAAAGGGCTGGGTTCAATATCTAGGGGTTCCTCTTAACAATACAAAACAGAGCTGGCTCACACCCCCATCCACTAATCTGGGAAAATTTAACACCACCCCTGGGCACCTCTAAGAGGCAAGACTTCTATCTGACTTGGAATTGTAGGGGTTCCACTGCCAATGGCTGCTCACAGAGTGCTATAAAGGTACCATAATCCCTCCTAAAAATACGCCCACACGTTCTGCACTTGCTCAGGCATTCTCTGGCTGCCTGTAAAGTGGATTTAACTGAGCCCTCACCAAATGCCTGTTATTAGGAAGCAATGGTGGGCAGCATGTGGAAGCTGGTAGACTCTGGACACCAGTCCCCACAATCCCCTGCCTAAGATGCAGAGTTGTTAAAGAAAATGCCAGGCTTCTTAGGGAGAGGGGATAGTGTTGCTACCTGGTGGTGTGGGCTCTGCCTCAGAGTCCTAGACACCATTTGACCTTCCATCTCTCCGCTATTTAAAGACAGAGCTGATTAGTCTCAATTGTCAGTCATTGTTTTGTTCAGTGCTCATTCGAACCGAAATTATTGATAACCAGGTCTAGCTGCTGAGCCTTAGGCCTGCTGCGAGACAGCGTTGCAGTGAAAGAGACTGCCCAGCCTACACTAACAGTGATGTTCCCCACTACTCACTTAAATTACAGAGAACTCAAACCACTGAGAGCTAGGTTAAGTGGTGGGACCTCGGAATGTGGCACTGTAGAGAGTGGCAAGTGGCAGCAGAGAAGCAGCAGCGGTGCCAGAGTGAACGGCGGCAGCAGCAGCCCTCAGTGCCAG